TTTCTACTATTGGAGAAGACCATACCATGTGGGCAGGAATATACACGCGCTGTTAAATCATAACTACATCTGTAATATATTGATTTATCTGTGGTAATAGGGAAACGACCTTCTGTAACGCAATTTGGTTTATAGTGTTGCATTGGATGATTACCACAATGACCAGTCGAGTTATTAAAAACCTGGGCGTAAAATTTAATTAACATAGGGATGAAAAAACTCTATTGTAAATTTTAGAACTTACCTCCATACCATTACATTTGCCAAATATAACACAGTAGTCTGTACAAACGAAGTAATAATGATGGCGGTTAGGATGATATTGAGTACCACGATAATTACCTGGACAACGTTTATTCTAGAAAAAAGCATTTTATTTACATTAATATGATATTTTTGTATTACAAATGCATTGTCTTTCGACTTACATAGTCAACTAAAAGTGGTATTCCTCCGCCAGGAAATGTTGTCACAACACCACGCCTACTATCGTAAATTGTACCAGGCGGTGAGAATAACGTGGGCTAAAAAGATATATATGGTATAGAGATATATAAAGATAATAAAATAATTTTATTTTAAAACTGAGAGTAATCTTTTTTTCTATCAGAATGTTTATATATAAACATAAACTAAAACACACATTATTATAAAATATAATTGTAATATTTATAATATAATATAATAATGTAAAATATTGTATTAATTTTATATTAAATAAAAAATTATATATTACTTATATAATTGTATAAAGTAATTATATAGTATAAATACGTTACACGTATTCAACGTAATACACATATACTACATACTTTATACAACATTATGTTATTAAAAAAATGGACTTAAATTAGTATGTAGTGTTTTAGATAACTCACATATAAGTTCTTGTATTTTTACATGTGTTATAATATATATGGAATGAAAATGGAAAGATACAATGGTTTAAGATACAATCTGAAGAAGTTGACTTTGATATCATAGTTTAGATAGATATTAGGATTGTGATAGTAGTACATTAACTACTAAAACCATATACCACATTATGTCATTGGAAAAAAGATCTTCAATTAGTATGTAGTTTGTCAGATAACCCATATAAGTTCTTCTATTTGTGTATGCATTATTATATGTATATTGAAATTTAAAGATACAATGGTTTGAGGTGCAAGTTGAGGAAACTAACTTTGATGTCATAGATATCAGTATTGTGATAGTAGTACATTGTCTGAATGCGAGACCACTGTCAAAATGATTCGGAGATAAATGGATGTCAATATCGACGGAAACACAATACATATGTAAAACATAACGCAATCATGTTTTTACGTGTAGTAAAATAAAATATATTTAAAAGTAGAAAAAAAAGATAATAATATTTATATACTCAGCATATTTTTTCAAATTTTTAAATTGAAAGAAAGAAATGAATACATATATAAAGCTTTCGTGTTGTATAGTTGAACTAATAAACTGGGCTTTATTGAAAGATGTTACTTATTAAGTTATGTGCAAAAGGCTGAGTTTAGTTGATAGGTATCAGATAGGTATTAAATAGCTATCGACATATGTTATTATAGACAGAACCAGCACTCATCCGTTACATAGAAGACTTAGACCCTACGAAATAGCTCACTTCTGATAGATATTAATTTATTGATTAGTTCGTATTGTGTAATTTTAATACTTGTTATTCTATTATTCTGTTATTTATTATAAAAAAGAAATTAGGTTTATATGTGAGACATAAATATTTGTCAACGTATTATTATATTATACTTCAATGTTATATATGATAATGATGATATGATAACACTTGAAAACTGTAAACAGAGCTTAAACTATTTCTATAAAATTTGTAAATTAATTTTATTTTGTTATATGTTTTTACCTGATAGGGTTCATATGGTATTGCTGGCCGATATTGTGGTCCATAATAACCAGTATGGTGTGATAAGGTATCTTGATAAGATGGTCCAGGATAAGATGGACCCGGATAAGACGGACCATGATAAGATGGACCAGGGTAATACATCGGTTGCGCTATATATCGGCTTACAGTGAGCCGTACTTTATTTAATGCGATAAATCCAATTAAAATTATTATCTTATTAAATATGTAATACATTTTGCTTTTGATTTTGTTTCTTTTCCACTATTTGAATATTAATTTCGTATATTAATTAATTTAATTCGTTACTCATTTAATATTTATTGGCACAGTAGCTTGAATTTTCAGTTTTCAAGGACACAGAGATATTTTCCTTGTTTGCTTATTATAAACTTTTTAATCCTTATACCGTATAAGGATAATTTATATTCACTTCACTTTTATGTTCGATAGGCAGGGTTGCTTTTTTTAAATTAAATTTAAGATGGCGACTTCCGTTAAATCCAAATATGCTTCCGAAGTTCACTTGCGGTTGTAACACTTCGAGTCGCCAGTTTCGATTGTCATATTTCCGCTTAATACCGTGAGCTTTTAATAGTTTTTTGTTGTTGTCGATACTCTGCCAAAAACAAGAGCAGCTACTCACCTACTTGCATAATAAAACAGCGGATGCTTCACTTTATCACCTATAAAAAAATTGTGAGCAGCAATTAAAATAAAAACTATTTTCTCACATATAAATGCATTACTACATAACAATTAATAAAAATAATAAAATACAAAAAATATAGTAAAGAAGAGAATACCAAATGGTGAAAGAACGCCGAAACACGAATTTAGCAAAAAATATTTCGCGATAAGCGTGTCTTCAGAACATTCGAAGTCAAGTTCATGATTCAAGCGTTGCTTACAAAATTGCTCTACTCTTTCTTCCGGAACTGCATCGTTTACACTGCTGCGTACATGTTTTTTAATGCGTTTTCGAGAAGACATTGTTTTTCTTACACAATCTGAACACTTTTATTATTTACATAATATATTAATTATTATTGCTTTCTGAACGAAACGACCACCTGAAGATGAGGCATTCTTGGTGTTAACGTCAGTAAACGTGCGTATGATGTTTCATAATAGCAGATTCTTTATGTACTACCAACCGGAAATATCTTCATAGACCCAATAATTCCGGATTGTAGAAGCGCTTTGCTATAAACAACCAAAAAAAAATAGGTTCTACACTTTCTATGCAGATTCTTCAATTACTGTAGACCGGAAATTTCTTCACAATTATAATACTTCCAGACTATAGAAATGTTTCGCCAAAAAAAAAATAGCTTCACTATTATTAATTTAACATTCTAATCGTATTTAAGAGAGTAATCGCATTAGGGCCTATATATATTATTTATGTATAATAGTATAGATTGGAAATATATTTCTATAGTCCCAATTAAATAAGATATTAAAATCACTTTCCTATAAAAAAAATAGTAGCTATTATATTACCATATTTTATGTACATTTAACATAAGTAATTATTTCAGTGCTTATGTAGATTCTTAATGTAGTATAGACCGGAAGTAATAAAACAGGCCTAATAAAACTTGTTGTTGAAATCGTTTTGCTATAAAAATCAATTAAGTAGTAGTATTAGTTGAAAATTTAAGTATCTATAAGTAAATCTTATGTAAAACTACAAATAAATGATTAACTACAAACATATCCTAAGACTTTAATTTTTAGAGTTATATTAAACATTTATCTCTGTTCTTCCATATTTATACTATCAGTGGTGAACATATCACGGACGTTTGGCCTAGAATGAAAGCAATTAGATTTAAAAAAGTGTCTTTAGAAAAATAGTACTGTGCTTAATATAAAAAGTAATGATTTTGTTTGTGTTTGCAAAGCAGAAAAATAATAATTGATAAAATGTCTTCAATGTAACATAAATTTTAATGTGCCGAGTCCACACCATAGCCCTCTATTAAACAAATTTAAAAACATAACATTGTTTTATATAAAATGAATAAAGCTAAGATTATTAAAAAGTACTTCTACTATCAGTGATGAGTCACTTTTCTTTTGAAACGGAATACCACTAGTATTTCTGAGTAACTTAGGAGTCTGTAGATTAGTCTAATATATGGTTTAAAATAAAATCTGGAATAATATAACATATTTTTATCATATATTATAAATATATAGATATAGATACATAGATATATATAATATATCATTTTTTTTTTTGGAACAAAAATATTAAACACTTATATCTGTTATACTCGTATTTATCACGTGTTTCTTACAAAAACCCAGTATTTCGATTCAATTCGTTATATGGAATAGGACAAACCAATACTTAAAATTAATATTTATTTATTTATAAGTCATTTTTTAAGTCAATTTTAGTTTTATGACTTCAAATATATAGTATATGGACAAAAATCGAAACCCTTCGAAATGGTGATACACATGATGTGTCTTTCTTTGAACCAAACATTACTTTGCGCTTACCTTCAGTATACAAAACAATTTTATATTGAAGGGAATGTAGTTATTAAGAGTAATTGTTCAGTAAAATAAGTCACGTTTTTCAAAATTATCTGCACATTATTTGTAAAAATTTTTTTAATCACAAATTTAGGTGTATTACATTACATTATATTGAAAAGCTTCAAATAATAAAAGCTCTGAGTTAATAATAAAATATGATATATAATAAACAAAACCTTTAAATTTTTGTTGATAGTTTCTTCAATTTTGACGAAATGTGATTGTCTTTACATTCTATTTATAAGTTTAATAATTTTTTTATATTGTTACAAAATTTTTTATTTATAATTAAAAAAGCTACAATGGGCAGTGTGAATCCAAACTAATATGACCTAGGCACAGTCGAGATAGAAGTGACAAAACTGGTGGCAGATCGGAGAGGCCTTTAGCCAGTGGACATCCATGCCTAAGAATTGGGTATTCCATTCAATCAAAAGTGCGGAAACTCTAAGAAAGAAAAGGAAAAAGTAACTATTGAGCATTTTGTTTGCCAAGATTGAGACATTCCATTATGTAAGTTTACGAACTAATAAGCCTGGCGGACAGGATAAATTTAGAACTCAACAAAAATTTTTTTTATCAACCGCGTAGGCTATATTTAAGACTACTATTAAGACTAAAATTATGAATCGGGTTTGTCACGCATATTTTCAAAACAGTGTTTATGCGTTAATTGAATAGAAGAGGAAGCTCTGTCGCCATTAAATTAAACAATCAATCAATGCGTATCCATTTTGTATGAATGAGACCAATGATAGTCTAAGTCTACCAATTCCATTTATTTGTATATTCGTTGTTTAGATTCACATAAAGTTCTTGCACAAAATTTAATTTTATTAGCCCAAAAACTAAGAAACTACTTTACTGACACCAAGAGAGAATTAAAACTACAGATTTTTTTCAGGTTGATAAAGAACATATTAGTTTATATTGTGTAACTTTTGTTCTAAATATAAAATTCTACGAATATTGAGGTCAATATTCCTAACTAATTGCTTTGTCCTTAAAAGAAAAGCATCAAAAGAATTAGTATCAGAATGTCAGCCCCTCCAACTGTCTATTGAAAATAAAATGTAAAAAGATTATAATCGTCGGTGCATACAAGATCAATAACCGAAATCTGAAACCAGTAAGTTAGAACAGATGCCGAACAATAGGTTTTGTATTCATATGTTTAATATTCTTGATATTCAGATGTCTGAGTTGGTGAATCAGCACCTTTACTCTATTTTATATGTGGACAGTTTTAAGTCACACTAAGAATAACTGAATATGGGGCTTTATATATATATATATATATATAAATTTTTAATTTTGTGCTTTTACTAAGTAAATATATAGGGAATCTGATGAAAATATTAGGTGAGAGTTTTCTTGAACTCTCTACGATCCTCTAAAGTCATAAAAGTTGGGAGTAAGTGTATTTTTAGAAGTAAGTGTATTTTTGATTTCATTAAAGTAAAAATTGAGATACCAGGAAGATTCAACGGAGCGTATACTAGGTGGTATTCGACAATGAGTGGGTACTTCCATTAGTTAAGTCAATGGAATAATGTGATGTATATAAATGAGTTGAAAAAATGCAATCCATTAGGATTAACAAATCAATTCCTGTTACAATTCATCAATTCCTGTATCTCTCATTGAAACATAGGGCCTCAACTGACTTGACAAATTATATATCTTTATTATAATATATCCCTATAATATAAAACAAAAACATTAAGCCATTAAGATAGAATATTAATGTATTATATTTAAAATCTGTTGTCGCATCTATTCTTTTCAATATTTCTGCATGAAAAGACTACTTGCCGCGTGAACAGTGGAAGAATATCCTATAATGAGCCAAGCGGACGAAAGTGAAAATTGGAATGCAAGAATCGCATCATCTCATAGAGTAACCTATTTCTCTGTAAGTGTAGACCAATGTAAAGTACAATACAAAATAAATACGAAGTTCATTTAAGTCAAAGGGGAAAGAGAGAGCAAAGCTTTAACATATGTGAAATAAATCATATTAAATACCCAAATGTGCTCTGAGAACTAATCTTAAAAGTTGAACTTTTCAAATAAATTTTGATTCAAAATTTGAAGATTGATTCTTACAAAATGTTTTAAATATTTATACAATGCACAGTTCGTTTCGGCTTGAGAAACATTGATCTGTGAAAAGAAGATACCGAGCTACTGTGATAAACATAGATAAGGCCAACGTAGCAACGGAAATAAAGTTACAAAATGGCGATGAATAGGCGATACTCTTTGCAAAGGAAACATGGCTTAAGCTAAAAGGTTCCGAAAGGCTTGAAGAGTTCGAGTTTGAATGGTCTTAAATGATACGTTTAATACTCACGTGATAAGCATTAAGATTGATTGCATCTAACAAATATAGTTGGATGGAATCGTATCTTCCCTGTATTCTGATTATAAGCGGATGGTTTTATTAAAGCAACAATTTTTAAAAATTATGTAAATGCTATTTCAAAATACTACGAGTATGAATGCCAAGGAATTAGTAATAAGATTTTTCCAATTAATTTTTATTATTCACATTGTCATAACTTCATATTGTCATATCTGCATTAGTCTCACATCTTCGCAAAACCTTTTTGCACGTACTGGTATATTGTATTCACAGAAGTGAATACATAGTCTACTGCACATATTTCGAAGTCATTTCAGTAGAATATTAGTTTTATCTTGTTTCATGTGTACTCATGTTAGCTCATTTCTAAAATACGTCTTGAGAACGGCATTATTCATTCAAGAAATGAGTATTTCTTATTACAGATTTGTATGTTTGGCTGCTCAAACGAAATGAAGTCCGATAGCTTTCCGACCACATTTGAAAACAAATATATAGAATACCTCAAATATTTCATGTTCTCTGTATTCTCTGTACATGTGAAAATGAAATAAGACCTGGAAATCAATGAAACTACACGTACTTTTTATTTAATTGAAAAAAAAAACCATTAATGAAATATTATAATAAAAGTCTACATATAAACATTTTTAC